TTTTATACAATTTTTGTTATTAAAGTTTTTGTTCGAAATTATCTCTTACTCATGTTTGTTTGAAATTTAAATGAGTTTAAAAAAATTAATAATTGATGAGTAAAATATCTGATCTGTCCGATGACGTGGAAATCAGGAAGTGCAATACGGGTACGGCCAAAAATTCGTCCAAAAAAACAACAAAATATGAGTACGTGGTGACAGGTCAGCACATTTAATTATTAAAACGACAGTACCTTACACTAATTGGAGCACACTGTAACGAGTATGAGAGAGCGTAATAAAATTCAGAATCCCATATTCTTGGTATCATCCACGTGTCGGGATTCGTGTCAGATTTGACGGAAACACCCGTGAACGCCCTGTGACTTTAGTAGATCAACGTGGCACCACCATCGGCCGTTGGAATGAGCAATTTAGCAGGGCAGGTATTTTGCGCCGTTGGATATTTGTGTGAAAAGAAGAAGCGTGAGCTCATTGGAAGACGAAAAGGCTAAGAAGCAGTACGTTGCCAGACATGGCGTTAAATCCATGGATTTTTAATTCGCCAACTCTCACTATAAATACGTCGCGTTTCTTCCTTCCATTTGCAGTTCCATGGTTCATTTCTTCTGATTTCATTCTACAAAGAGCAACTAAGAAAATTCCTGCTTCTGGTAATATATTTTCCGTCGTTCTTTAACTTGTTCTTCTTTTTGTTTGGTTCCATAGAAAATAAATCGGTTTTTCCCTCAACTGATGTTGAATTTTCCATCTCCTTTCATATCTTAGAATTTTCGTATATTACGCCGAGACGGCGTTTGTCGGTGAAAGCCTTTAAGGTAGATTGATTGACGAACTCTGAACTGGATAAATAAGTTCATAACATACTTTTTTTCGGATTTTTCGTATCTGTAATCTGATATTAGATGGTACAAATCTGAAAATCTAGGAACGCCGGGAAAATAATCAAACAAGAAACTCAAACGAAACAGAACTAGAAAGAGAGTTAAAAACCAAAGAAATGACGATCAAACCGGCGGTGCGGATCTCTGAACGTAAGCTCATCGTGAAAGACCGTACGATCCTGACGGGAGTACCTGATAATGTTATCGCGACGTCCGGTTCGTCGTCTGGACCGGTGGAAGGGGTTTTCCTCGGGGCGGTTTTCGAGGAGGAGCAGAGTCGGCAGGTGGTTCCGTTGGGAACCTTGCGGGATGTCCGATTCATGGCGTGTTTTCGGTTCAAGTTATGGTGGATGGCCCAAATGATGGGCGATAAAGGGAAGGAGATTCCGTTAGAGACGCAATTTCTGTTACTGGAGACGAAGGATGGGTCCCACCTGGAATCGGACGATGGAAATGAAGAGAATCAAATCATTTACACAGTGTTTCTCCCTCTGATCGAAGGATCTTTCCGAGCCTGTCTCCAAGGCAACGGACAAGACGAACTCGAGCTTTGCCTAGAAAGTGGTGATGCAGACACCAAAGCGTCGTCGTTTACACACTCTGTGTTCATCCACGCCGGAACCGATCCGTTCGACGCCATCGCCGACGCGATGAAAGCCGTAAAACTCCACCTCAACACCTTCCGATTGCGGCAAGAGAAGAAACTGCCTGCAATCGTTGATTATTTTGGATGGTGTACATGGGATGCCTTCTATCAGGAGGTTACTCAAGATGGCGTTGAGGCCGGACTGAAGTCTCTCTCGGATGGCGGAGCGCCGCCGAAATTCGTGATCATCGACGACGGATGGCAATCAGTCGCCGGAGATCCAGAGGAGGAGAACGAGGAAGGAGGCGAGAAACAACCGAAGCAGCCGCCATTGCAAAGGCTAACAGCGATCAGAGAGAACTCGAAGTTCCAGAACAAGGAGGATCCGAAGGAAGGAATTAAGAACATAGTAAGCATCGCTAAAAACAAGTACGGATTAAAGTATGTGTATGTATGGCACGCGATTACTGGTTATTGGGGAGGACTACGCCCTGGCGTCAAGGATATGGAGGAATACGGATCGTTGATGCAGTATCCGAAGGTATCCAAAGGTGTTTTTGAGAATGAGCCGCTATGGAAGACCGACGCGTTGGCTTTGCAAGGATTGGGGCTGATGAATCCTAAAAGCGTTTACAAATTTTACAATGAACTTCACAGTTACCTCGCCTCTGCCGGAGTCGACGGAGTCAAAGTTGACGCACAGTGCATATTGGAGACTCTCGGCGCCGGGTTTGGTGGCCGAGTCGAGTTGACCCGGCAGTACCACCAGGCTCTGGACGCGTCGGTGGCTAGAAATTTTGCAGACAACGGCATTATTGCTTGTATGAGCCACAATACAGATGCTCTATACTGGTAAGTGAACTAGAATTCTCAATTTCTTGGTGACTAATTCCGAATGAGAGTGAAACCATTTTGATGTTGGTGGTTTTGTTTAATTTCAGTGCGAAACAGACGGCGGTTGTGAGAGCTTCCGATGACTTCTTCCCGCGAGATCCGGTGTCGCATACGATTCACATAGCAGCAGTGGCTTACAACAGCGTTTTTCTTGGAGAGATTATGCTGCCTGATTGGGACATGTTTCATTCCCTTCATCCTGCCGCTGAGTACCACGCTTCAGCTCGGGCGATCAGCGGTGGCCCTGTTTATGTCAGGTAATCATAGTTGTTTCTAGCCATGGTCGACAGAAATAATTAAAATAATATTTGCTTTTATAATTTTTATACCATCAAAATTAAATTTAAGTGGTTGAGATTTGAAGTATGTTCTAAGTAGAGACATGAAATTTCAAAGCCCTTATTATACAGAATTATTTGAGTTTAAAGATAAGGTAAGGTGCTAGTGAGACATCTATTATAAGTAAGACATCTATTATTAGAGGTCAATAGTCTTATCAGGAAGACATCTATTATATTCTTCTATTCGTTAAAGTTATGTGATAAGACAACTTTAAAAGATTGAGTTTCCAATAAGATCAGATTCTACTTGGTACAAGAAAATATTATAAGTTCAGGGATCGATTACTTTTATCAGTAATGCATTGAAGTTTTTTTTTTTTTTTTTTTTTTTTTTTTTTTTTTTTTTTTTTTCCTTGAAAGAATCTATTATATTCTTCCAACCCATTAAATTTGAGTTATAACTGATGAGGTAAAAACAATCTTTTAAATTTAGGGCCAATAGCTTGATCATAGGAACTATTTAAAGTTCATTGAAGTACAAAACTGGATAAGTTTAGGACTAAATTTACGTTTTCAACATGTTAATCGTGATGTTACATTTTTCCCATCAGTGATGCTCCGGGGAATCACAACTTCGAGCTTCTGAAGAAATTAGTGCTACCTGACGGCTCAGTGCTCAGAGCACGCTTGCCTGGACGGCCAACACGGGACTGTTTATTCTCAGATCCAGCACGAGATGGAGTTAGGTGGGTGTTTTTGATTTGGATTTGAATACCCTTTCTATTTTTTCCATCACTTTTTGGGACATTTTTCTCCCCACAGTTTGATGGAGTTGAGTGGGTGTCGTTGGTTTGGATTTGAATGCCCTTTTTTGGGACTTTTCTTTTTCTTTTTTGTCGTTTTGGTACCTTTTCTGACTTTGAAATTTGAATCACATTCTTCAGCCTGCTGAAGATATGGAATTTGAACAAATTCACTGGGGTGGTTGGCATCTATAATTGCCAAGGCGCCGCCTGGAACAGTCGAGAAAGAAAGAACACTTTTCATGACACCAACTCTGATGCCCTCACCGGCTACGTCAAAGGACGCGACGTTCACGCCATTTCTGAAGTTGCGGCGGATTCCGATTGGAATGGCGACTGTGCATTCTACCGCAATCTCTCTGGGGAGCTCGTCACTCTTCCTTACAATTCAGCACTTCCCGTTTCTCTTAAAGTCCTCGCCTTCGACGTCTTCACCATTACCCCGATCAAAGTTTTGGCACCTGGCTTCACCTTTGCTCCCATCGGACTCATCGACATGTTCAATGCCGGCGGTGCAATCGACGGGTTGAAATACGAAGTGAAAGTTGGGTCTGAGCTTACGGAGGGAACCGAGGCTTCCGGAGGCCAGTCGGAGAACCGGAGCTCCGAGTTGGTCGGAATTGTTCACTTGGAAGTGAAAGGGTGCGGGAGGTTTGGTGCGTACTCGTCGGCAAAGCCACGGCGGTGCACGGTGGATTCGAGCGAAGTGGAGTTTGGTTACGAGTCTGAGTCTGGTTTGGTGACTTTCGGAATAGACAAATTACCGAAAGGTGATCTTAAAGTTCACGATGTTAAAATTGAGCTATGAATTTTATGGATGGGTTCAGATGGTATGATTAGGTGCCGGTTATAGGCTTCCCTTTGTTGTGGGCTGGAGAATCTTGTAATATTATGTGTGGATTGGAATCTAAAATAACTCTCCTTCCTTATCTATGAGGTGCAAACTACAAACATTGTCTCAGTAACTTCAAAGTAAAACATATCATATTAGCTATAGAGCAATGTGGGCTTCATCATTTGATTACCAGGTTTCAAAGGGAATACTTAATTTTTAAAATTTGAAAAAAATATTCTAAATGATCAATGAGTTAAAATTGACTCAATAATTGATCGGTTGCAATTTTAAATCCCATGATAAGTGTCTCTTTTCTTCCCTTGTCTGGTGTTTTTTCCTCCCACTCTGCCCCTTTTTTAACTTCTCCACCCGTGTCTACACGAACGGGTTCGTTCACGAAACGAACAACTATGCCTGACACATAATCTCAAATCAATTAAAAAAAAGTTCACTGTCATTGTTTGTCAACCTGCGGTTGCCAGCCACAACAGCCTTGAAGACGATAAATAACGAGCCCTTTCTCGGGTTTTCATATCCTGTAGGCTATAACCTAATCAGTGATTCTGTGGTCAATTTATTTGTAAGAACACAAATATTGAAGTAGGAGCTTAAATAATCGACCCATGGTAAGAGAAAAAATGTTTGAACTGTAGAGAAGCAAGTAATGGCATGTCCTGTAATCTGACAGAATAATTCTACTAAACCCAAATGAAATATGTTCAAACAAGCATGTGATAAATATAGATAGAATAGCTCAATAATGTACCGCAATTTATGTACAAGGTGTACCAAACTGCTTCCTAGAATGTAATACATATGATCACAGAGTTCAGTCTATTCTAGTATCTAATTTCAAGGATGAATTACACAATTGTCTTAAATGGTACAACAAATGTTAACCTAATGGCAAAGTAGAACCCCTAAGAGAGATGTCACATAGCAACTTATGGACAAGAAAGCCAAACAGATCTAAACAGAGACTAATATTCCATCCTTACCAAGGCATTAGAGACTTCGGTTAGTCCACACTGCATCCAGTCCTTGGAACATATCATCGCTTCTGCGGTCTCGGGACGCAGGGAGCTGCGATACTGATCCATTTTCTTCCTTCTGGTAATAAATACGGAGTCGGGAGTAAGGGTAGAAACTGGAATAGACAAGATATCACGAGCCATCTTCGAAAGAGTAGGGTACTTGAACTTGTTCAATTTCCACCATCCCAATAGATCGAAGTCTTGCACACGAGGTAACAAAGAATCTTCCAAATATCGATCGAGCTCGGACTTCATCTGTTGGCTGGTGGTCTCCATAATGTAGACATCAAAATCTGAAAATCCGTTGTCTGACAGAAGGTTTCCCTGAGAATCTTCTGCCTTCATGTTGCCATCAGCACTTCCATCTTCAGCATAGGTTGGGGTTAAGGGTAGAGGCAGCGCCACATATTCCTCAAAGAGCTCATGAATTCCATCATCAACAACCTTGATGTATGCAGGAGCTTCTTCACCATAAACTTTGGTGAAACTAAACTCAACAAGCTTCATCTTGAACCGAGGATCCATCACGACAGCAGCTGCCAGGACTATGCTGCAATCTTTCCAATATTTATCGACCTTTTCTAGCATCATTTTACTGAGGCTGCTTGTGAAGGGATCCTCGCTCGTAACTGCCCGAGCCAATTCGGAATGAATTCTACATACTTCGTGAAAGACGGTAATGGCAGATGGGTGAGATGTTGTGGTAAGGATATTTGCTGCATCAAAAAGAAGTTTCAGGTATGTGCAGAGAATATCGACCAACTTCCAATCTTCCATTGATGGAGCTTCCCTATAATCAGGATCAGAGGTATCCAAACAGGAAAATACTTCTTTCATCTCAGAGGCAGCCACCAACATATGGTAAGTTGTATTCCATTGCATTTGATCATCAAGAACGAGATTTCTCTCACTAGGCACTTGAAGTTGTTGCTTAAGCTCTAAAAACTTTTCCTCATGAGAATCTGAAGTTGTCACATATTTCACGCTGTCCCGAATTTTCCTTATCGTATTTTCTCCTGCACCTAATACATCTTTTGCGATGTCGCCTAAAGTCAAGGCAATACAACTTCCAACTAAAAACTGACCATTGAGAATAAGGGGGTTTTTTATGGCAATTAGGGGCCTGAGATTGTCAAGGGCAGCTTCATTCTGTATTTGATTAAATGTAAGAGAGAATAACTTCCCTTCTAATGTCCAATCAGAGAGACACGCAGCAACGGCATGGCTAAGTGCAGTAGGCGATTCTGGATATGGTTCCATTATTACATTCAAAACACGTCTGTGCAACTTCCACTCGCTATCAATAAAACTGCCCATAATAAACACATAACCTACTGATCGACTAGAATGCCACATGTCAAGGGTAAGGCATATACGTCCAGGGATGGCTTCTATAAACTTGCTTAGATTTTGCTTCTCCATTAAATATGTTCCAACACAATCCCCTTGAACAGTGTTGAAGCTCACCATGTTGAATCGAGGCTGAAGGTTCTTGACAAATGATATAAATCCAGGATGCTCAACCATGTGAAGAGGATAGTCATGCATGATAACCATTCGGGCAATGTCTTGACGGCAACGATCGTGATCAAACATAACATAAGGTGAACTAGAAGTTCTATACCGCCTTTTAGGTGTCTCACTGACAGTACTACCTCTTGAAGGTGAGGTATATGTAGCCACCAACTGATTCTTGTCCTGACTACGCAAAAGTGCAGAGCAAGTTCCTTTGGCAATGTGCCGCTTCAAATGGCTGGTGCCAGCAACTTTTGATCCTGTACTATATGCAAAACTTTGCTTGCATTGCTTACAGTACGCCCGTCTGCAATCAGGACTCACGGACTCTATAGTGAAGTGTTCCCAGACAATAGACTTCTTTTTCCTCCTCTTGTTAGGCTGTGTTTCCACCAAAGCTAGTTCATTATGTCCATCTGGTGATCCCAGCTTTCCTGTATCAGGAGTTTCCATTAATTCGTCTTCAGGAGTACCCATGTTTTCCCCATTTGGAGTCATCATATTATGGTCTTCATCATGATGAATCACCATGATCTCTTTGCCCGAACTTGCCATGTTTTCTTCATCAGGAGTTGCCATTTCGTCTGGGAAAATAATTTCCTGTGCAAAAAAGAAATAAAATTAAACAAAGATCTAAGGCACATATCCTTAGAGTGTTAACATTTCTAAAACTCCAAATAAGGCAGAAATATGACAACAATTTGAATAAGTTAAAGTGATAGAATATGTGTTTATCTTGCTTGACTCGTGGATCAGCAGGCGTCAATCCTAACAATGAATGCTTCTTTATCAAACAAATTAAATGTGGTGCTAAGAACAGCGATACAAGCTAAACCCAGCCAAGGAATCATCAAAGACATTATCAACGAATTTTCGCCCTCAAATCTAAGCAAGGCGATGAATATATTATTTGAATAGACGAAGCACATCGGAGCGATAAAAGAAAAAGGAGAAAACTTCATCCCAGCTCGCAAACTAAATTAATGCAAACGATTAAGATCGCCGTATTTGTTTTTTCATAGAACAAAAAAAAAAAACCCATCTGCCCATTTGTCATATTGCGAAGTTGGTAAAACGTTGGCAGAAAAGGAATCGAATAGCTACAATTGTAAGTCGGGCTCGAACCCATGAAACAAATTAAAGACAGAATACCATTTTTCCGAACCCAGGAAGAAAAGGGAACCGAAGAAGATTTGTCTCCATCCTCATTTTGATCAGATTTGTGAAAACCCCCAAAAAGCCCAACCGATGGGGTCAGATTTTGACATATAGCTTGAGAGAGGCGCGAGGAGGAGGGTTCTTAATCTATGAAACCCTTTAAAGAAAGGGGGAAACGATGAACGAACTCCAAACCCGAAAATGGGCTTGGTTTGGGCCCACTAAAAAATCGGGTTAAATTGGAATGAAAAGACATTCGGCCCACCTAGAAGGCATCTTCAAAATTGGGAGATTCCAGTTTCCAACCAAATAATGGAGTCCACATGGATGAATCGCGAGGCTAAAATAGGCAATATTGAAAAAAATATCTATGGTGGGCTGGGAACAGTAGTCGAACCAGACGAGTTTTCAGATCTAGGGTTTGAAGAGGATTTGGGCATTTCAAGCCCAGCAACCAAGGTTTAATGTGAAAAACCCACGAAACGGAAAATTTCGAACAGAGAATCATCCAAACACAAACAGAGATCAAAATTCCAGAACTCAAAACTTCACCGGACCAACAAATAAAAACAGAAGAAATGAATTGCCGCTATTTCCCACCCAAAATTTCCCATCCCGATATCATCAGAAAGAAACGAAAACACAAAATTCCGAATTCAACAACTCCAGAAATCGAGATTCCATCAAACTGAAAGTAAAGAAAGTAACCGAAAAGAGGGAAAATATAATCTTCTTCGTCGATTTCAAAATCATCTCATCCCAAAAAGAGCTCGGATTTTACCCGTGGTTTCGAAAGAGATCCAAGAAGGCTAGGAGATCCACGAAGAGAAACGAGCTGGCCTGGCCAGGCTTGAATTCCGGTCCGGTAGCCGATGGAGCCTGAAAATTTTGCAGCGAAAGAGAGAGAATCGGAGATTGGGCTTCAAAAAAACCCGAGTTGGTAATTGGACCTTAGTTTAGCACAGAGGGACACGGTTTGGTAGATTAGGGATTCGAAGAAGACTTTCCTTCTTTCACCTTTTTTTTAATTTTGGGCACTGGACTTCGGGCAGCTCGGTCCATCGGCCTTATTTTACTTTTTTCTTTTTTTCTTTTAATGCTAATAAATATATTTTCATTTATATATTCTTCCTTCTCTAAACTGGACCCGAAAGCCCACAACTGCCTTCTCCTTTGGGCCGGTACACAAACGGGCCCACCAAATATTATGGACTACTTATTAAGTAGGCCCCACTTCGGCTAGGCCCATATGCCCCAGATTTAGCACCGATCCAAAGGTCCATATTATGTCTCTGATATGGTCGGATAAATCCAACCCGTTGGATAAAAAAAAAACACGTATTTCTAAATTTTAAAATGTATACCTATTTGTTTCATAATTATAAATATATATAATGATCTTAATAACATTTAATTTTGTGTTCAATTAATTAAATTTTATTCAAATTCATAAAACATGTTTAATAATTTCTTAAATTGAGATTTGAATTTGTTTTAATATTGTCACGTCATATTTGTCAAGTTTAGAGTTCTATTAAACCGTAAGTTTCAAACCTATTTCCATACATAATTTTCTAAATTGGTTTCTTAAATTCATACCACAAATTCACGTCTCATAAATTTAAATTACTTAACCCGCTCTAATTAAACTCGTTCAATTTTATAATTAAAACATAATGTATGATTCTGGTATGGAGCTTAGAGAATGATACAGAATGAGGAATAATATATTTTATTTTGGGTACTTTCTTAGAAAGAATGGTGGTTGCATTTCTTCTTTTAAACATTTGATTACAAACAAAGTCTTTATTTATTTGTTTATTATTTATTGTCATGTCTTTTGTGTGTGTCTATAATATATATATACATATATATATGTATATATATTTGAAAGAAAGCCAAGAAAAAAGGGATTTGGATCAATGGTGGAAGGCAAGTGATGAATTGGAAACGGGAGAGGTTTTTATTGGTTGAATAAAAATAAGTAAATAAATAAATAAATAAATAAATAAATAAAGGTTGAATAACAGTTGTTAGGCATGTGTGTTTGGTAGATAGTGTCAGTAATATACATAATGTGACAAAACAAATACATGCATTTCCATGCAACTGTCCCCACCATTTCACACGTGCGCACCTACAACCCTCCAATCATCTCTACTCTTACATTTTCTTTCCTTTTTTTTTTTTTTAAATAAATTTGTACTTTCAAACTTTTAATATAACAATATTTATCTTTTAATTTTTTTTTTTGAAAATTCACTAAAGAAAATTAATATCATATTGCAAAGTTATTTTTTTATTAATCAATTTTAAAATTTTAAAACTTTAAATTAATAAATTTGCAAGATTTTTATATTAAAAGTTTGTCATTAAAATTAGTGAGTAAATAAATAAATAAAATGATATAAACGTAGGAATTGCAACATTTATGGATTAAAGATCGACTTTTTTTCTTATAAAAATTGAAAAGTATGAACACGACTCTCCACAATAGTAGTATAAGTTCTCATAGCCTTGTTTTGTGCTTCCTTAAAAGGCTTCATACTAATGGAGAGATTATTTTTTTATTATAAATCGACAATCCTTCCCTAAATTAGTAGATGTGAGACTTTCTATCATCAAACAAATTTAATATTTTTAAATAAATGATCGTCTCACCTTTTAAAAAAATAATATTAGATTAGTGTTTAAGTAATTAATGGGGTTAAGGTCAATGATTTGATGCACGTGAATAAAGCGAAAAAGATATTAAGATAATTGGGATATATAATAAGAATGGAGAGTAATATTAATTTGTTTAAAATGAAAGAAAAGGGAGGAAAAAAACAAGATTAATAAGCTGGCGATGTCCACCACCAACCACTCCAAAGAAATATATTTATTATAAAGTATGGGGTCCATTATTATTATTATTATTATTATTATTATTATTATTAAAAGGAAAAAAGAAAGGGGAGTTTGAATAATGGCGGTGATATCAAATCAACCAAAATATTTACATAAAGCCATGGGATTAGCTACTCACAATATTATTAGAGTGAGTGACTAAGTTAGTGTTCGCCAGCTAATTAATTTATTAATCACAATTCAACCTGTTTATTAATTAAATATACCTCACACCTTGCTCTTAATCCCTCTCTTTCAACCTCTTTATTCATTTATTTTGACCAAACTATTTTTTTTTTTAATTTTTTTAAAAAGTAATTAAAGATAAAGGGTGACCGAAACTCCTCCCTATAGTTCGAGTAAGGATCTGGAAGAATTTTGTTTCCTTAGTGGTTATTCTAAGGAAAAGGTGGCTTTTGACCGCTCGGTCACTCTCTCCTTCCCGAGTCGAGGCATAGCAGCTCGAAAGTTTGTTTGGTAAGAAGACTCAACCTTTTCGGGTTGGGATTGATAAGTAAACTTCCCCTCTTCTTTCTCTTGGACAAAGAAATGATCTAGGCTTTCTCTTTGAATAGATTTATTTTTAGTAAGTAAAAATAAAATGATTTTAATTGAAATTACATACTTTATGTTATGAATTGATATCAACTTGGAATCTATAGAAATCACATGGGTAATTTAATTTTTGTTTTAAAAAACCTTATTATAAAGCTATTATGAAAATATAATTTGATGAATCATAATGTAAGATTAATTTATGAAGATGTAGAGGTAAGATAGATATAAAAGTGTGAGGGTGGCATGGAGGGGGTTGGAAGTGGTCCGAAGCGACAAAGCGACCTCCGTCCTGGAAAGACGGGGGTGTACTGTCACACGCACACATGTTCCCACTGTGGGGTCTCCCCCATGTGATTACACCCTTTCTTTACCCTCCCTTTGGAATCACCCAAGTTTATGAAATAACTTCAACGGCTCCGTTATTTATTTATTTATTATTATTATTATTACTATGAGATATTTTGTAATACATGATAATAACATTAATTTATTAATTAAAAAATGAAAATATAATAAAGTTAAATAAGGAAATTTTAGCATTAATTTGTCCTTATTCACCCATCGTTTTCTCTTTGCTGTTTTCTCTCAGGGGACCCACCATGCGTAACCTCAATTTATTGGAAATTTGAGCATTATTTATACTAAAAAGCAATGTAAAATTATTACATCATATAACATATAATATGATTAAATTATATTATTCAACGGAATTATTATTGGGTGTTTTTATAATATTTATCCCATAAACAATTCGGAAAATATTTTAAACGTAATAATTCAAACAGATAGTGTTACGAAAAAAAAAGAAAGAAGAAGCACATGGAATCATGATGGTCATTAAGGCCACCTCCCAAAGCTCACATCACCAAAGCAGTGTATCTACGCGCTAGAAAAAGCGCGTGAAGGTGGACTTTTCATATCAGAAACGGACAGATCTAGCGTGGGACCGAGCGCCCTGTCCCCACAATGCCAACCACCACCGTTAGATCCGGAAAGCTGCCATCCTAGCCGCACGTATAATTATGACATACTACAACAAACATACGTCGTTCCACACGAATTTTGTCAGGTTTTTATTCTTTTTTATTTTTTCCTTCGAATTTTTATAAATTCAATGTTAAAATATCTCACACTACTAAAAAAAATAAAAATAAAAATTTATTAATAAATCTCAAAATTAATTAATTTTACCCAATTTTTTAATAAAAAATTACAGAAAAATGTTAATATAATAAACTAAAATTGTTTTAGAGTGGTTAATTATACCAAATATTATTTAAAATATTTTTCGGGTGAAGTACAACAACTAAGACGGTTTTTTTTTTCCTTATGGTAATCTCTGTAATCCCTCAGAATTAAGTCCAATATTCTTCTCGGGATTGGTGGGTAAAAAAAAATAAAAAATAAAAAATAAAAATAAAAATAAAAATAAAAATAAAAATAAAAAAATAACCTCTCTATTGAATCTCTTATAAATATCACCTTCTTCTTCTTCCCCTAAAACCTATCTCTCTAGTTTCTCACTCCTCTCCTCCAGTCTCCGCCTTCTCTCTAGGGTTCGATACCCTAATTTTTCTTTTCTTCGTTCTTCAGAAATGGCTCTGTTTGTATTCTTCCACAGCTTTCTTGAACTGCATCTTCCTGAGCCAAATTCGCTCCTCTCTCTCTCTCTCTCTCTCAAAGCGTTCTTTGTTCATTAACTTTTGCGGTTCAATAAAGCTGTGGGAAGATACAGACAAGGTCAACCAAATCGGTAATCCACAGCGAAATTCGCCGCCTACAATGACCTTCAATCGCCGGCGCCGTCGGTATATTTCTGTAACTTACAAAATCGTATGATGTAATTTTCCCCTTTCTTAAGCTGTTTTTGTGCGTGTTTGTTTGTTTGTTTCTTAATTTGCCTTTTCAGAAACGGTAACTTTTAGGTCAATTTCTCCCTGAATTTACTCGGAAATGTGAGGTTTCAATTCGATTTCGATTTAATACCTAATCTTCTCCGTTGATAGCAGAAACTATCTTGAATGGATTCAAGCCTGTTTTTGTTTGTTTTATTCTATTATTATTATTTTTTTTTTTTTTTCACTGTGACCCCATGTGTAGGTTCGATGGCAGGCAAAAACAAGTTTGTGTGAGAAAGCTTTAAAGCCATATAATATGCCTTTCGATGATGATGATGATTAATGTATAATTGAAGCAGTTGGTTTCATTTCATCAAAGGCTATGGATCTGTACTTTTACTGTGCCCGTAGATAAACCAAC